CGACGTTCCAGTCCAAAGGCCCGGTACTACAGAATCCTAAGTTGTACGCACCACGAAAATAGAAATTCCTAATGTGCAGCCGTTTAGATTTAGTAGGTTCGTCCAGATTGACGGTTTCCTTTCGTTCGTGCCTTCGTGCATCCTTGTTCGCCGCCGCCTCGCGGCTCTGCCTGCCCCTCTCGTTAAAATTGAAAACCACTCCGCGATCGAATCCGCGGCAGGTCAGCTGCTTCACGGATCAATCTTGGAATCATACATTCATACCTTCACTTCAAGGTACGCCATCATACAACCGCAAGCTACTAATTTATTAGATTGTTTTTTACCTTTCTTTTCTAGTTTGTAGTCTGGGAGTCGGTGGCTGCTAGATGGGAGTAATATTTTCGGTCGCTTTGGATCTTTGTTTGCTTGGAGATTTACCACGCTTGAGCTGGATGATGTTCTCTGTTTGTGTTTGGTCAATATATGAAATCATAGGGGAAACCCCTCTTTTGCTCAAAAAATAAGTTATCAGATCGATTACACATTAGAGATTATAGGAGTATTTCTTAGTGAATTGGTACTATTGCTACAAGTCAAAGGTTCGATTCACTAATTGGATGCAATAAGATTTCAAATTGTACATCCAATTTCACCTTTCGTTTAATGTTTGCACGTCTTCTCTATTTCTGAGGGCCCTTATCAGCCATACACAATAGCATCACCGACTCCAATATACGAGTATTTATTTTTCATCCGATTGGATAATCAACATGTTCAACCATGGTTCTTGTAGAGCAAAATTTGAACTAATAGAAATGTATATTTTTCTTTACATTACAGAAATATATGGCAGGACATTCATATAAGTGCCATATTTTCAGACTATATTCTTGTGACGCGTCTCTTGAGCGATCATTATTTTTCTCGCCCCCTCATGTTCAAATCCTGGCTCCACCCCCGGGCACAACAATTACAAACTAAAATTATTATGCACAATTAAAGATACTGCATTAGAGATAGATAAGTCAAGACAACATTTTTAGATGGAAACATCATGTATTAAGAAATTACCATTATGGAAGGAGTAATGGCATACTTCATCTTGCTTTCAATAAAAATACTTTGTATTGACTTCACCTTTGTTACATTAATTTTAGCAAGGGTCAATGTATGCATGGTGTTGTCACTATAATTATCATTCGATATTAGATATTTATGATGTAATCCTGAAATATCATAACAACAATACTTACAGAAAATTCCGGCTCAATGAAAATCCTTGTGAGATCTAGACCGGTCCATGTATAGTTGTTGCTATCCATTTGACTTACACTTTGGACACATGAACTGTGTATACCTCATGATCCATAGTCTTTGTGCCAATTAATTGCTCTTCTATATCACTTTCATAAACTTTCACATGCCTTTGTTCATAATGTTTTATCCATAAGTTGTAATAATAAATATATTTAGTAGTAATATTGACATAATACAAATCTAGATAATGAGAAAGAATATATTTACTTTCCTGCCAAATTCATCTTTTTTGTCGCTAAAATGCATTGATCAAGAGATTCACTTTGTAATTTAGTTGGCAGGTAGGATATCATTGTATCATACATTATATTATATATTTCACTTAAACAGAACTAACTTGTCTCTGGACAATCTCATGGTCACAGAAATCAGCAAAATCAACATGATGAGCACGAGTAATTTCAATTTAGTTGTAATCATGCTTGACCTTCATGTGCAAATCTAAAGAAAAGTTGTAAGCAAGTTGTTCCACAATCGATACAATTGATGTATCAGAATGGCCATCATCTAGTTCAACAATTTTGATACCTAGATTATCGACGGGATCATTCTTAGTAGTAATTGTCCTTTCCACATTTGAAACCTGAATGTAATTATTAATTAAGATAGTGGCATTGTTGAAAAATCATGCAGTAATTACTTCAAATAAGACTTTACCATTTTTGTCCCTCGCCATACTTTCCATTTCAATGTTATCCTCCACATTTCCTCCGGTTCTCGCAGAACCTTGATCTGTATAATTACATTAATAGAGAGAACAAAAAAGTGTTTGAACAAATATTATCTTTTTGAACTTGCATGAATATTACTGAGAAGAAGAACTTGTTTCAAAATGCTTGGCAGAATTTGATTACCTGAGAAAATAATGTAAGATAAAATATGTAGTAACAATCATTTAAAACTCAAGTATAATACATAATACAATGTTTTTCGCCAATATTTGTTGACTTATTTGCTCTCTAAGGAAAGCATGGACTCAAGCCTCTCTTAGTGCAACGCATGCAAGTTTGATTTAACAGCGAAGAATTTCTCTATAAATTCAATATATTGCCTTATTATATCATTTTTGGTATTCCATTTGCAGTTTCTTTTAGCATGCACGAGCTTGAATTCTTGAGGTATATAATGTCTCACCTTCAAATATAGTATTGATTTGTCAGGTAAATAAATTGCATTCTGGATTTTTAAAATGTAAAAATGAAAATTTACTATTTGTGGGTAAGTATCTCTTATGTGATAATTGAACTTTCCATTGGAGATACATTGCGGATTCGTTGAAGGTGAGAAAAACTGCACGTTCTTTTAAACAACTTCAAATTTTTTTATACTTCCAGTATTGATTAATGAATCTTTTGGCAAAATGTCATTGAACAATCCAATTGATTGTGTTTTTCATGCAGCCATTGTCTTTCAAACTTTTCGGGAGCAAAATTGTCCCGTCGCCTATCAACTATAATCCTCAAATAGCATACAAGTTCTACTCTTTCAATCTAGAAACAAGGAGAACAAGATAATTGTATATTAATTTATATACCATTTTTAAGCGGGACAACTAATTCAACGATGAGATACAAACCATGCATGCATCATATGTTGTTACACTATTTCTTTCTCTGTTTTGCAAAGGAGATCATAAGATTTATGTGCCACTTATCGTAGTCTCCAATCCAAGGCAGTTTTCATTATGTTTCCTTGGTACAATTTGTACTTGATTATCAATATAGAACATATGCATACATAGTTTGTAGTAGTATAGAACATGCGACATTTCTTATAGTATTTGACATTCACGTTATAACTTACTGGGAGAAAGAAGTGACAGCCATATAAGTATATGACATGACTATTTGACTCAATTTGTTGTTGTGCCTTATAATAGCATCAAGTAGATAATTTACGGCATATTCACACCAGTTATATTCTCCTATATAGTGGACTTACAAACGACTTCCCAATAATCAACGATGGTGTAGTCATGTTTAGAAGAAAGTGTTACCAAATGACCCATGATAAATATCGCCTTTTCAGTTTCATTTGATAGCTCTATTATATCTCTAGCTTAAAAAATTGCTAGCCCCAAACGGTGAGAATCCTTCTCAACCATACCTATATTTGCCTTCAAGAAATCAATAGAAGCAGCAGTTGTCTGTCCATAAACACCATCAATGTCTCTTGGTCTAGAAGGAATACCAAAAAATTTGTGCATATCTCCAGCAACTGTTGCACTTACAAGAAATGTATTAAACTTAAGATGTAGCCCCTCCCTCCCATAATATAAGAGCGTTTTTTACACTAATGTAGTGTCAAAAACGCTCTTATATTATGGGACGGAGGGAGTACCTTTTTTATTTCAGGAAACTTCAACAACCATCAAATTTGATTTTCCAAAGCATGTTTTTTTGTAATGCGTAAACACAATAAAAACAGCATGAACATGATCTATCTTCAATCTAGATTTAGAGTTACATTTTTATCCTCATTTTTTACGCTTGGGTCATCCCCTTGAGTGTAATAATATTTTAAATTCCACTAGATTTTGATGTTGCACTTGCTGAATAACTTGACTTAGAAGACATATGTATGTGGCTAAAAGATAAAATTAGTCAATGTACCATAACAGTAGTTGTACATACTTATGATATAAATGTTTATCAATACTTGAACTTTTGAAATTAAATTATCAGATTATAAAATATTAACAACCAATATGATATGGCATCTAATACAATAAAATATATAATTCAACGGATTGCTCTTTAGCTTCATATTTCATATCACAAAACATACTATTATAGGTTGAAGTAACAACATAAAACAAAATAAAATTTCATATGTTGCTCCTCGACTCTCAGAGAGGTAAGATCATCAATCAATATATAGTAGGTTGCTGCTCACTTAACTAAGTAAGTTTTATAACTAGTGCCTACATTCCAATTTGCAGACTAATATTAGTCAATGAAGTCTCTGAAAGCTTATATATTGTATCTATAAAAACAATTGTATCTATTAAGTCGCAGAAGTCAAGTAAAAAAATGTAATAACATAAGCTTAAGTTGTTGTCCCTACAACTTGACTCAACATTGGCTTATGATTAGGTTTTTGTGTCTGTAACTAACATGTTCATTAAAATTGGCCAACTTTCTATTTCCCAAACTCTTTTACATAGATAAACTTACAACATCCATTCTTATTTGCGTCATAACATTTGACATCCAAAATTTCCTTAGTATAAATATTCAATAAGTCCAAGATCTGACTTTCGGGAAGAGAACAAACCAATAGAAGCGTTGTAACTTAACTCAACACTGATATACCGATTAAGTATTTGTGTCTCTAACTAACATGGTCGTTCAAATTTTCTAAGTTCACTTTTACGGTAACTACAAACATGTTGTAAATTTATCTATGTACCTTCATTATTATTTTTGTTCTAAGATTCAACAGCAAAACTTTCTTTACTACAAAGATTCACTAAGCCAATGATGTGAGTTCTTCAAAGTGAACAAGCTAGTAGAAGCACAAATAACGAAAAAAAGATTGAACACATAGCAAGCATATGCAATAGTTGCACCAACATGAATCTTCAATGCAGATCAAACATACAACAACATCTAAGCTCTTCAGCAAAAGGTTCGGATATGACTCTGTTGTTGTTGTTACTATTGTTGATGTCTATGAGTGGTTGATAACAGAAACACTTCGGTCCCTTTTCACCTACACCATTACTGCTAGAACACAAGAGTTCTACGAAAAGAGGAAGGTAATTGAAGAACAGGCAATGAGGAAGAAAAAGAACAGAGTGAATGGTTTTTCCACAACTCTACCGTTTTACTACAAAACTTGTTGCACACCGACTATTTTATCAAAATATGTGTACCCTCGAAACTGATCCCACAAAAACATATATATTGCTTTCCATTTATGATCAGTTTACAAATATTTGCAAAGGGCTATATGAGGGGAAGTAGGTGATATACACAAACGGCGTTTTGAATCTTGACGCAGACCGGCGGTCGACTGCCCCTGATGCATGTCACAAATACTCTTCCGTAAGAGCATCTACAACCGAACCCCTTAAACCCATCTCAAACGCCTGGGCAGGCCGCCCGGTCACTGCTTGTTCATGATTTTTTGATCTAGACGGGCCTCTCAAACGGCCTTCAAACGCCCGGGCTAACCCCGCCCCCCATACCCAGCCCAAATATGGAGTGGATATGGGGGCGCCCGGGCACGCCTGCCAAGTCGAACCGGGCCCATGCTGGCTCACCCGACCCCACAAAAAATCCTTCCCATCCACTCGTCGGACCAAACCCTAGCCACTTCACTCCCCTCCCCTCCACTCCCCTCCGCCACCCAAGCTCATCTCCGGCTCCTTCCGATCCTCTTCGGCATGACGGGTAGCGGATCCGAGTCCTTCACCTCCAGATCCGTCGACCCCGATCTCATCCCGCGCGGCCCCGAGGAGGAGATGGCCGTTCGGCTTGCGCTCCGCCGCGCCCGGGAGGAGGCCCGTGGACGGCTGCGCTCAGACTCCATCCGTCGAGAATCCATTGCTTCCGCCCAAATGGAGCATGGATCCGGCGCTAGGCCGGCCATAGCTGCCTCACCGGAGGCCTTACGGTCCATCTGGCGTCCGAACGCGCTCGCGGACTCGCAACCCCTTCAATGGCGCGCCGAGCATCGGGACGCACCATGAGCCTCGTCCGCCGCGGCCATGGCACGACGTGCTCGCCGTGCAAGGCACCGGGCGCGGGAGGCGGCGGCGGATGTCGGCAAGGCAGAGTCACATTCTCCGGTGCCCCGTATGGCGCATCAGTCCAGGCACCGCAACCGCATCGTGGTGGATGTCGGCGGCTCGTCCTCGGATGGATCTATCATCGATCTGACGTCCACCGGCACCGTTCGGTTGCGGTCTACGATGAGAAAGAGTAGGGCAAGGGAGACGGCGGGGCCTTGAGTCCCATGAGCCAGCTATTTATTTAGCTTGGAACCCCTACTTAATTTAGGGTAAACTTGATCGATCGTGAAAAGAAAAACTAAAAACCACAGAAAACGAGTTCAACGGAAGACCTGACACGTAGGTACTTACACTGACAAGAATTTGAGCAGTCAAGCACGGCACAGAGACATCGACAGATTGGAAAAATATTGCCGCCGGCTGCCCCCTAGTGTAAGGAAGCCCTTCTGGCCTCATACCAAAATTTAACACCACCAAGACACGGCAGACACCATCATCATCAAACATTTAGCTTCCTCGCAGCTTCGCGAGTTCATTGACACCGCACATTGGCAAGTCGTCCAAAGATAAGTCAAAGCAAGTTTGGCCATGTTGGAAAGAACACGTCAAGCGAGGACTAGTACGCACCGGTGGTACCAATTCAAACGACTTGATGAGTTGATCACACTGCGGTCGTCCAGCCTATATAAATTTGGCCCTCCACTGCCACTCACCGAAGCACTTAAGAGAAGCTCACTAGCTAGGCACGCACGATGAAGACTGCCATTGCAGCAGCCGCTCCCCTCCTCCTATTCCTGGCCCTGGCCGCCATGGCAGGCGCCGTGACGTTCGACGCGACGAACACGGTTCCGGACTCCGCCGGCGGGCAGAGATTCGACCAGGACGTTGGCGTCGACTACGCCAAGCAGGTGCTCTCCGAGGCCTCGTCCTTCATCTGGACCACCTTCAACCAGCCCAACCCGGAAGACCGGAGGGACTACGACTCCGTCACCCTCGCTGTGGTTGACAACATCGAGCCTGTGGCCCAGACCTCCGGGAACGCTATCCAACTCCGAGCCCAGTATGTCGCCGGCTTCGACGAGGGCGACGTCAAGAAGGAGGTAATAAATCGAATTCTGCACCCAGGCCGCACGGCGCGACATACCTTCATGTATAGCTTCTTAAGTTTCAAACACGAGATTGATGCGCGCGCTCGCAGGTGAAGGGCGTGCTGTACCACGAGGCGACGCACGTGTGGCAGTGGAACGGGCAGGGCAGGGCAAACGGCGGGCTCATCGAGGGGATCGCCGACTACGTGCGGCTCAAGGCCGACCTCGCGCCGACGCACTGGCGCCCGCAGGGGAGCGGCGACCGTTGGGACGAGGGGTACGACGTGACGGCCAAGTTCCTGGACTACTGCGACTCCCTCAAGGCCGGGTTCGTGGCGGAGATGAACAGCAAGCTCAAGGACGGATACAGCGACGACTACTTCGTGCAGATCCTGGGGAAGAGCGTGGACCAGCTGTGGAACGACTACAAGGCCAAGTACCCCCAGCCCCAGGGCTGATCGACGATGCATGCAGTTTGTTGTTGTATGTGTACCGGTCTTCGTCTACGTACAGATACATTATACTCCCTCTGTAAATTAATATAAGAGCGTTTAGATCACTAATATAATGATCTAAACGCTCTTATATTAGTTTACAGATATTAGTGATCTAAACGCTCTTATATTAGTTTACAGAGGGAGTACTTGTATTATTGTACAATTTATGTACTGCCTGGAATGGAATAAATCAGCGTTGGCACGGTGTGTGTTAACGAATTGACGAGACAAAGGGACCGTCTATAGGTCATGTCATCGGTTGCCTGAAATACATTGAACATCAGTCACTTTCTTTACAGCATCTTCAAAGGTGACCCGCAAATTTTCTCTCACATTTGTTCATGGACAAGAAGACCAGTCCACGAACACTTATGTCGGAGGGCCGTCATACAACTCTGTCCGTATTTATTTCAAACATTTTTTTCAACAAACTGGATGAAATTCATGCAAACACGAACAATTTCATGAAAATCAGACGAAAACATTTATATTTTGGACATATTTTTAACTAAAGACGATATCGGAGTAAGATAAAACTAGTCTACGGCCGGCACCAGCGGATATCCATTCTGACGACATGGATACCCTTAACTAGTCTACTGCCGGCCGCGGCGGATCTCCATTGTCGTCCCCATGTCTGACAACCGTGAGTCCGGAGGCATATGCTTTAGCGCAAAGGCGGCTCACCTCCCCGGCCAATCCTTCAGCCGGAGGGGAAGTGTCCCTATGTTGTACGAGTCAGGGTTGGTTTTTGATACGGATCAGGGTTGGTTTTTGGTACGGATCAGGGTTTGTCCACCTAAAACACATCAAATCCATGAATCAAAATCAACAAAAGTTCATTAAACCAACAAATCACAAAACAAAATTGATATGGCTATTTTTGTGGGGATTTTTAAAATTGGGCAAAAACACACAAAATTGGGGCTAGAAAATGGAGAGGGAGACTCCAAAGTGTGAATCAACCTTGGCTCTGATCCAAGATGATGTAGGGTGAAACCCTAATTGGTTGATCTTTTCACACTTTGAGGGGGGGAAGAGAGGCAAATCAAGAGAAGCACAAGATGAACACTCAAATAGACCAGATCCAATCACACATGTGCTAAATCCACATACACAAGGAGAGATACAAGATCCAAAATCAACACAAGAGGATACAAAGGGTAGCTAGTTCATCTCAATCCTTGAAGGAGAGAGGTCTTGAATCCTGGGAGGATCTTCCCACTGGGGTCTTCAATCCACTAGGGGATTTTCTCACATGGAGGTCTTGGACTCCATTGGAGTAGGTAGTGGATGAGCAAAACTCAATCTCTGATCTGAGCTATCACTTTGCTAACCCTAAAATTTAAATCGGAGATGAGTATATATAGTCTAGGGAAGTGAAGGGGTACATGGGCATCGGCCCGAGTCGCTGTGCGCAGACAGGTGTCGGACTTGCGGGCATTACCGGTCGTCCGGTGTCTCGCGAGGTACTGGATGTCCGGTAAGGATCAGACATCCGGTGTTTCGGCTCTATTAAGGTGTCGTGGGATTTCCGGACGATGTCGAGCGTCCGGGGCATCGGTTGTCCAGAAAGCTTTGATTTTCTAACATTTTGGTATTGGACACGTGGCACCAATCGCCCGGAGGCTATCGGTCGTCTGGTCGCTGGAGGACGTCGGACGCCCAGTACATGTCGGTCGTCCAGCCGATGTAGGTATTGTCAGCTGGGCCTTTTGTCTGGTTGTTCGTCAGTTCGCCGGACGTCCGAAACCGGTCGGTCATCCGGTGGCTGTGAGTTTCTGTCATATGTTCCTTTTGGTTCTCGCGCTCGGTGTCACCATCTTGTCCATTTGCCATAGTTGTTTCATGGTCTTCCTCCAAGTACCTGATCACACACAAGGTCTTCGCTTGAGATAGTAGCCATGTCTCGCATGAAGAATGAGTAAGTTCAGAGAGGAGCGAGTTCACCTCGGCTTCGATAGCCCTTGCATGAGCTCTAGTCATTGGTCCACGTGGTGTCTTGAAATACGAAGGTACATCCATGGGGATGACTGTACGATGCTCCGTATCACCCTCCTTCTCTACCTTCGCCGTCGTCGGGGGATGCTGCCGAGCTAAGCCCAGAGACAGATGGCGGTGGCGGAGGAGTCCCTATCTCTCGCGTCGTAGGGGTGCTACGGGGCTACAAAATATGTGGAGGCGCGGCCGATCCATTCTAGGCAGCGCCGCAATGGCTGCTGCAGGTGGCGGCGCGTGATATGTCTCCAACATATCTATATTTTTTATTATTCCATGTTATTATAGTATCAATCTTGGATTTTTCATATGTAATTATATATGTTTTTTGGGACTAACATATTAACTTAGTGCCAAGTGTCAGTTGTTATTTTTTGCCTGTTTTTGGTTTTTCAGGAAATCAGTACCAAACGAAGTACAATTGCCACGAAACTTTTTGACGATTTTTTCTGGACATAGAAGACACTAGAAGCTTCGGGAGGAAGTCAGAAGACGAAGGGGTGGCCACGAGCCACCAGGGTACGCCCAGGGGGTAGGTGTGCGCCCTGGTGCTTCGTGGGCTCCTCATTGCTCCATTTGACCTAATTCCGCCTTTATAAATTCTCTAAAATCAAGAAATCAACAGAGAGCCACCCAAAATACTTTTTCACCGCCGCAAGTTTCTGTTCTCGCGAGATCACATCTGGAGGCCTTTTCCGGCAGTCTGCCGGAGGGGAATCAATCAAGGGCTTTTACATCAACCTTGCTGCCTCTCCGATGATGTGTGAGTAGTTTACCACAGACCTGCGGGTCCATAACTAGTAGATAGATGGCTTCTTCTCTCTCTCTCTTTATCTTCAATACAATGTTCTCCTCGATGTTTTTGGAGATTTATTCGATGTAATCCCTTTTTGCGGTGTGTTTGTTGGGATCCGATGAATTGTGGATTTATGATCAGATTATCAATGAATATTATTTGAGTCTTCTCTGAACTCTTTTATGCATGATCGTTATAGTTTTGTATTTCTCTCCGATCTATCCGTTTGATTTCGCCAATTAGATTGATTTATCTTGCAATGGGAGAGGTGTTTTGTGATGGGTTTGATTTTTGCGGTGCTTAATCCCAGTGACAGAAGGGGACATGATGCGTATTTGTATTGTTGTCATTAAGGATAAAACGATGGGGTTTATTCATATTAATTAGATTTACTTTGTCTACATCATGTCATCTTGCTTAAGGCGTTACTTCGTTCTTTATGAACTTAATACTCTAAATGCATGCTGGATAGCGGTCGATATGTGGAGTAATAGTAGTAGATGCAGGCAGGATTCGGTCTATTTGTCTCGGGCGTGATGCCTATATACATTATTATTGCCTTAAATATCGTCATGATTATTCGCTTTTCTATCAATTGCCCAATAGTAATTTGTTTACTCATCGTACACTATGTTAAAGAGAGAAGACTCTAGAGAAAAACTATGGCCCCCGGTCTATCTTTGTCATATATTAAAATCAAAAATATTTTGCTGCAATTTATTTACCTGTATTATATATTGTGTTTTTGTTATCTATCTATCACTACGAGATTTGATCCTTATAATTAACCGCCAAGGGATTGACAACACCTTGTTTGCGTTGGGTGCAATAATTTATTATTTTGTGTGTAGGTACTGCTAACGAGGTGTTGCATGATTGTCCTACTGGATTGATAATCTTGGTTCTTAACTGGGGGGAAATACTTATCTCTACTGTACTGCATCATCATCTCTTCTTCGAGGAAATCCCAATGCAGCTCACAAGTAGCAGCACGGCGGCGGGCGGGCCGACCATGGGAGGCCGCATGGGCCGGTGATGTGGCGGCGCACCATCTGGTTACGGATCGGTGGAGGCGGCGTGGATGGCCTGGTGGATAAGTCAACGACATACGTGTATGGCCTCCGGGCAGATCTGATTTGGCCGGTGTGGCATGCGTGCTGCGCGGCGGTAAAGATCGGTGTCAGCACGTGCATAAGTTGCTAGATGGAGGTTCGTCAAGCAGATCCGGGTGAAAATTTTGCTCTCAGCTACTTGCCAAGGTCAACGATGGCAACGCTCTTCTATGTCGTCACCTTCCTGAAGGCATCACCATGGAGAAACTCCACACTTCTATCTGGTACCGCCGGGGGAAACCCTAGATCGTTTGATCGGATGACGGCGGCGCTTTTATGTCATTCCCCCTTGGGGCGTCATTCTTGAGGTGTGCATTGGCTCGAGGGGCCGGTGGACGGATTCTACGGTGGAGCGGTGTTTAGGTGACACATCAACGATGTGGAGTCTCGGCGATGTGGCGCAGAAGAGTCTCGGCGACGGATATGTGATGATGGGCGCGCGTAGGGAGATGGTGTCATTTGGTGTCGTGGTGGCGTCGACGGCAGGCCTGACAAGGTGGATGCGTTAGTACCTGCTCTGAAGATGGATCGGCGAAAGAGCGCGTCGGACCGATGTGTGCCTCATACCTGGCAATGCGGCTTGGTTGGAGACTCTGGCTTTAAATGTTATGCTTTGGTGCGAGATCTGTTTAGTATTTGGCTCCCACAATCGGCACCCCTTTATCATTTGGATAGAAGTAGCGACATATGTTATTGTTGGAAATATGCCCTAGAGGCAATAATAAAAGCATTATTATTATATTTCCTTGTTCATGATAATTGTCTGTATTCATGCTATAATTGTATTATCCGGAAATCGTAATACATGTGTGAATAATAGACACCAACATGTCCCTAGTAAGCCTCTAGTTGACTAGCTCGTTGATCAACAGATAGTCATGATTTCCTGACTATGGACATTGGATGTCATTGATAATGAGATCACATCATTAGGAGAATGATGTGATGGACAAGACCCAATCCTAAGCATAGCACAAGATCGTGTAGTTCGTTTGCTAGAGCTTTTCCAATGTCAAGTGTCTTTTCCTTTGACTATGAGATCGTGTAACTCCCGG